AATTACATTCATACATACATCTTTTACAATACATGTGCAAGACACGTGGGCAGATCCACTTCCTGTCGGGTCCCAGAGCAGGAAGTCGTCATTAGGCCCAAACAGCCGGTGCTCCCGACAGGTTGATTAATCAGTGAGTTGATTGACAGAAAGTGTATCGGGAGCCATTTTAATTAGTGATCAACAATCAAAGTCTGCGTCTGAACAGCCGCCACATCCAGGATACAGGAGCAGCCATCTTGTGCTTATCATTTGGAGCAGTTGGAACAGTGGAGCCAGGGTATCGAGGTCCCGCCCGTACACGCTCTCGACCAATCGTAGGTCAATCTCAGCTGTCAATCACGTTTTCACCCCATTTTAAGTCATAAACAACACTTGAACACACAGTGTGTGTAGTGTGGTGTGAACTAAAATGGCAGAATGACAAAAATGTATTTGACGTCTACTTTGACTTTTAAATTTGGTCGATGTCCCGTCTGCCAACATGGAGGAGGCTCATATCGCTTCTTTTTGAGGAGCTGTCACGTCGTCCGTGTTCATCTGAAAACTCAGATTTGAGATTTTCCTGTTTAAATTCCGTTTCATTCTTGTGACTGTGAGCGGACACGTTGGTTATTTAAGGGATCGACTACATTTTAACGTTGACTCATAAAATGGCCGCCACACTGTGTCAGGAAGGTGCATCACTGCAAACCAAGAACTGCAACATGAACAGATCTACTCTCTCAAAGTTAAAACAAAAGTTTTTATGAATTTCAGCCTCAAGAGTTTCTCATCCTCCTGAGTCAACTCACGGCTCTGAGCTGGATTTTTATTAGTACAACAGCGACACCTGCTGGCCACAGGCAACAATTGACTTGGTAATAAGAAATAAAATGTTCTCCTCCTGCCTCCACTTATAAAAAAGATTAGTCACATTTTTATGGACCAAAATCATACAAACTTAAATACTAAAACATATATACGTTCATTCTGCCTCTCGTTACACTAACAGGCCCATTTTATTTACTTTCAGCAACTTTTGACTTTATTTCAAAATGTAGTTTTGATTTTGTGACGTAATTTTCCAGATGAACATTTCACGAGTTATGTCCCAGTTTATTATTTCAGCCAGAAGCCAAGTTTCATTTAAATTTCATTTGTACAGCGTCATAACGTAACTTACATCATCTCAAGGATCTTTAAATCGTCAGGTCTCGACCTTAAAACTCAGAGAGGAAGGTGAGATGAAGTTTTGGGGAAATCTCTTCAGTAGATTTTGACAAACAAATGGACCTGGAGGAAAATAAAATCTCTAGTGGTGGTTAAATGTTTTCCTTCCTCGCTGGCTTCTCACAAAATCATAGTCAAAGTGGTTCTATGATGAAACACAGGTTTTGTTGTCTATGTTCACTGTATAAAATCCATGAATTGTTAAAGACCAAAAAGACAAACACAAGAAACATTTGCTTTTTGTTTTTTAATAGAAACTCAGAGTCGTATATTTAGATTATTGTGAGTATGAATCAGACCGTTCATGCAAACAAGACACGTACAAACAAGTTAAAAAAGAAGCTGGACATGATTTTGACTTGATAACATCAGAGACATGAAGACGGAGGAAGTTCAGAGCCGCCGTAAGGCACCGCAGGCTCCTCCAGGTCAGAGGTCACCATCAGTGTTCAGGCATCAGGGGCCGTCAGGTCAAATCCAACCAGAGAAAAGAAACGTCTGAAAACAAGTGTTAACTCTTAAATATGAGAGCATGTGTCAGACGTGTGAGAGACGTTCATGTGGGATCGATTAAAACTCTTTAAGTGATAAAAACTGCAACTCTGACCGAAGTTAAACCAAAACAATTCAAATAATGTTTATTATTTTTCATAAAACAGTAAAAAAAAACTTTGTCTGATGTAAAAACAAGCTGAATATTTGTAGTTTTATTTTAGGAAAAATAAAAAATATCGAGATCGCCTGCATGTGTTGTGATTTTATAAGAAAATGATCAGCTGACGAATCAATGATTTAAAAAACAGCTGCAGCTTGAGTTGTGTATAATTTATACTTTACATAGTTTTCAGTACAAAATACAGTATATTAATGTATCTTTGAACTTGAGTAGTCTATACTGAATCCTAAGATTTGTTTCTTGTATATTGTGTTTTTTTATGTTGAAGTTTTTAATGGGTGGGTTTGAAGCTGAGTTTCTCACAAACAAAATAATAAAACTCGGCCCATCGACTCATCACGGCTGAAATTACAGCGTCGAGCGCTTTAACTTTTCTCCTTCACCTCCTCTTTTCTTTTTCAAACAAAATAATCAACGTTTTCTTTGCGTTGGTTTGTTCGTCAGCAGCATCACGCAAAACTACTCGGTTTGTATGAAATGTCGTCGCACGGTGGAGCAGGACTCGGAGGAGATACAGAGGAGGGGGCGGATCCGAGCTTTTTTGTGTGCGAACTAAAAAATAATTTGATTTAAAACTTTGGGACTGAAAATCAAGAGAAAATGAAAGCTCAGCATTTAATGAGCAGTTGTACAGGATCATCAAAACTTCAAAAAAAAAAAAAAAACAGTGGAAAGTGCATCTGGAGGAAGCAAAGTAAAATAATGATAAAAATCATGTTTTATCTTTTTTATATGCTTTCTTTAAAACCCTCCTGTTTTCATTTCAAGTTACAGAAGTGGTTTTATTCCTCATGAGGAAATAACATCAATGTCGACAGGGCTACAGAAACAGTGCTGGTTAACTTTGCATTTAGCGTTCAGAGAAACTGATGTTTCAACAGCTGCAAATTCAACAATTTGAGTGAATATTTAAAAATATATATATATATACGTATATTTCTCTTTTGTTACGTAAAGTATAAAATATTTTTACGAAGATATCAGGTAGAAGTTCAGGCTGAGTTACATGATAAAAATGACGCTAACATGGAAAAATAGAACAGTTCAGATTCACCAAACAACTCATAAAATACAAACACCCACATAGAAACTATGATATAAAGACGCAGGAGCTCATTAATAGTCAGTTTGTGTTTTTTTCTGAGGACACGAGCTGATGATGATGAAACATGTTAATTATCTTCGTTGTAAACTGATAATAAAAAAGAAGTTTGACTGAATGGTTCGACTTCAACCTGGAAGTAACTGCAGTGAGGGAGGAGAAACAGAGCTGACACGTTAAAGATCATTTCACTCTTCTACCTTCTCTCTCTCTCTCTCTCTCCATTTCTATTTCCCTCCGTCTTATTGCCGTCGCACTTTTTCTCTGCCACTTCCGATTCCACGTTTCCCTTTCAGATCTTTCCTCCACCTTCCTTTGAGTGGCATCAGGCTGTAAAGAAAGTTGGACGACACATCTCTGCATCCTCCCAAAGAGAAAGTTCACATATCCCAGGTACAGGTGGCGCCATATTGCTTTTTTACTGTCATTTGGACTCTAATGGAAGTGTGGAGCCATGATTGGACAGCCACCAGGGGGCGAGAGAGACGTTTTGGCTTTTTGAGAGCTTTCATGTCGTCCATCTTTTTAAACAGCTTATTAATTAAACCGATATTAATCCACAGATTCCGCCGGTGACAGATAAAAAGTTAAAATCTGATTTTAAAAAGTCATGATTGTAAATAATGAGTTTCTTATTCTAACGACCTTCAGCTTTGTTTCAAGTGACAGAACTGAGCCTCCGCACACAGCAGATATAAATAACAGTTTGTTTACACAGGATTGAACGTGTTCAAGAGTCATTTAAGGCAAAATCCAGAGAAATCCACGACCTGCTGAGGTGGAGTCAACCGTCCTCCGACACGTGACCCGTCTCTCCTCCGTCACTTCCGTCATTACTGCGTCACTGTCTCGTTTGAACCTTCAGGATTCCTCAGGTCTGGAAGTGTTGGGTTTTTTTTTTAGCCAAACCAGATTTACAGTAGATCTGAGGTGAAACCAGAGTCCAGCTGCGGAGACGTCTCTCGTCTGTCCTCGGCAGAATGTTCGATCTCCCAACACTGTGATTAGTGGAAAACATGACCTGTGGCTTTAGTTTGCTTCGGTCCATTTCACCGCTCGGTCCCTGACAACCTGCTACGAGTCCAGAACACAAGCCTCCGCCTCTGTCTGTGTGGTGCTCTGTCTGTCCAGCCATTTGTCCATTAATGTGTCTGTGGTCAAATCCCCATCTCCACCTTCCCCTCCCTCTCTTTGTCTCTTGGCGAGGTCGCTAGCGATAGCCAGCGCTCCTCCCTTCAGGAACCTCACAAAGTTCTCGCCAACCAACGGCCCCATGGCGTACATGCCCGGGCCCTCTGCCGCGACCACCTTGTTCGTGAACGGGTCCACCTCGATCGGGTTCCTCCGGCATGTGATCGGCTCTTTGGTGTTGATGCCGAGTTGACGCCCGTTGTCCCCCAGAAAGGAAAGGTTGGGATGGGCGCCGATCAGAACCAGAGCCTTGGAGACCTGGACCACGGTCCGCTGGCCGGACTCGGACTCCAGAATGCACTTTCTGTCTGGTCTGAACGCCACGACCCGGTGACACGGGAAGCTCAGGTATCCCGAGTAGGAAGAGGGGGGCGAGGGAGCGTGGGAGGAGGGGGAGGAAGGGGTGGAGTCGGGGTTCTGGGCGTGGTCCTGAGGTGGAGGATTCGGGCGGTGCTGCTGCTGAGTCATCATCTGGTGAACCTGGACGCCAAAGGACACAAAAGCAGAGTTTTCAGTTAAATACGTGATACGTGACAGGTTGGGTTCCATGACTTCATGTTTTTAAATATCTTGTTTGGTACCACACTCAAAAGTAAAAAAGGGAAAAGATTAAATTAGATTAAATACACATATTTAAGAAAATGGAAACAGCAAATGTTTCACATGAAAGAAACGATTGCTTGGTTATCAATCCTCGGCTTCAGGTCGCTCTCTCCGCACCTTGTGGTATTCTGGGTAGAGAACTTTGGGCAGCTGGTTGAAGATGAGACCCGGGTCGGTGACTGAGCGTCTGAAGGCGTGGTAGACGGGCGTGTTTAGATGGTGAGCGGCCAGCACCGCGTCAGCCGCCGTGAGCCCCGCGCCCACCACCAGCACGGGGTCCGACGTGTGGTCGAGCTCGCCACTGGAGATGGCCGCCTCCAGCTCCCAGAAGGAGTGGCAGACAAATGGCAGGGACTCGCCCTCCACGCCGAGTCTGGCTGGGATGTCGTGGGTCCCCGTTGCCAGAACCACATTGTGGGCCAAGAGTGAAAAAGGAACCTCCTCCGAAACAGAGGAAGCATCTAACAGGAAGGAAGGTGGAAACGGTGATGTGGCTTTTTATTTTATTTTCTCACCATGACATGAACCACGAGATTGAACTCAGCGTACCTCCCAGCTCTTCCCCCTCGCGGCGCTGCAGTCCCGTCACTCTCCAGTAGGACGGCGAGCCCTCCTGGTTGCTGAGCTGCCTGGTTACCGAGGTGACGGTGGTTCCGCAGGCGAAGCTCTGCTCCAGGGACATCTGGGAAACGTAGTGTTGGTAGTAGGAGGCTATCTCGGCTGGTGTGGCCCGGTCGTTACGTACATTTCTGGAATCAAACGAAAAAAACACTTTTAATGCAAAACAACAGATTATGTTTAAATACAACACAAGACGACTTCTTATATTATCAATGTCTCCAAAACAACACAATTATATGAGATTTTGTTGTAAAACGAATTGAAAACAACAAGTGAACCGGAGGAGAACCTGTTTTATATTATCAATACTAATTAAGACCAAACGTGTGATAAGAGCCGCCTTAAATGATGGAAACCAATTCTCATGTGACGTGTGACCGGGCCGCAATTTAACGTCGTTATCGTGGACGGACCGACCTGCGCTTCTCTCTCATCCAGTCCTTCAGTTTGAGTCCGGGAAGCTCCATCCAGTTAGCCAGGCTCAGAGTTAGCATGGAGCCCTCCATCGCCTGGGAACAACAACAACAACACACACACACTCGGTGTTAGACTGAATCAGGCCCTGAAGGTAGATCTGCAGGCGCCTGAGAAAGAAAAACAAAGCTTGTTTGAACACATTAGCATCAGTGTTTTCTGTCCATCACGAGTTTCGGCCTCACAGCAGCTGTGAGCGACGCCTTCAGTCAGATTTATACCGTGTGTACTTAAACTTGAATAAGAGCTTAACTCGGTAACTCGTCCAGACGTTGGATTATTAGATTATAGATTCTAGGTTGATTCTATTTTGTTGTGGTGGGTCGTCATGGAGAAACCAGTGGAGTCACTAGCGTTTTCTGTAGCCGCCACGAAGACTTTTTAATGCATTTTTATTCCATTTTATTTAATGTTAATCTACGTTATTTTATTACTTTCCTGTATTTCGCATAGATTCACTTTTTATTACACAGAATGTTAGTTTTTCTAAAAACCTCCTCTCTGCTGACCTGGTCTGATTGGTTGTCGCTTGCATCACAGCACGTGACGTCACAATGATCAATCATCTGTATATAATCTATAATTCCAGCTACGTACATGCCAGGCTCCTCCGGGTGGACCCTTCCCCAGCACCAGGTGTGGGATGGCCCGCTCAGGCTCAAACCTCCACTCCAGTGGAGAGGTGTAGTCCAGGCCGAAGTCGCTGTCAGGGAGCAACAGCGAGTCAAAGAGCACGGCCATGGGATTGGTCGACCGGCCCTCCAACCCCTCACACAGGTACTCCAGATCCTAGAGGAACAGACGGCACCTTCTTACTTTTTCTTTTATAAAAACAACCGGCTGCACGAGTGTGTGTGTGTGTGTCAGTGAGTATTTATTACCTGCTCCAGCAGCGACAGGTGAGGCTGCTCTCCCAGCTTGCTGTGCAGCAAGGGGTTGGGGTGCGATGCCCCGGGCGACAGGTAGGGGGTGTAACCTGACAGCAGGTATGACAGACAGATCCCTGACGGACCATTACCTGGGGAACGGAGAGAAACAGAGCGAGACGCGGGGTGAGGTTTGGTGGGAGTGTAGCTGAGCGACTTCCATTGGTTTCTAAGTGATAATCCACGCAACGCTCTGACAGTGGAGATGTTGTGTGTACGTTGTGTGTCTCTAATTGGTTTCTATGGTTACAACTGCAGTCAGTTTGTCGCCCGTCTTAAAAATGTATTTGAAGCTGTAAATCATTGAAAAGACAAGAAAGCAGAGATACTGTCATGGCAGAATGAAAACTCGTTGGACCGTCGCACGACTCAAAAACAAACAGACAATGACTCAGCAAGAACGCGAGCGCGTGCACACACACACACACAGCGCAGTAAAATATCTAATTTGCCTACAACTGCTGACAAACAAAGCTTTGACTTCACATATATTACACAACATTACACAGTGTTGTGTCTGTACGAACGGTAACCTAAGCATATCTGTTCTTAAAGTTTAAGACCCAACAAAAACTTTCTGTGCCCT